AGAGAGAGAGAGAGAAAGAGAGAGAGAGACAGAGAGAGAAAGAGAGAGAAAGAGAGAGCTGACTGGGCTCAAGCATGGTATGCATATGCTAGTTAGAGGAAAACTCTTGGGTGTTGCTTCTCTCCTTCCATTTTGTTGAAGCAGAATCTCTCATTTCTTCTGTGCTGTGTACTCCAGTAGCTGGCCAGTGAGCTTCTAGATCATTTTCCTGTTCTTGCTTCCTGTTTCTCCATAGGAGTGCTGGGATTACAGATGTGTTTGACCACATTCAACTTGTTTATATGGGTTCCGATGATCAAATTCCGCTTGTTAGTGTTGGGCAGTAAGCACCTTTGCTTGCTGGTCCATCTTGTTAGCCCATGCTTAAATATTAATTATTACTATTATTTTATTATTGCTGCTGCTGCTTCTTCAGAAAACATTTTTTTAATGTGTGTGTTTTGCTTATGTATTGTGTATGCCTGTGCATATCCATGAAGGCCAGAAGTGAGTGTCACATCTCCTAGAACTGGAGTTAGAGGCTGTGTGAGATGCCACATGGGTTCTGGAAACTAAATTCCTGTTCTCTGTAAGAGCAGCAAGTACTGGTAACCACTGAGCCATCTCTCTACCCCATGCTTTAGTTCTTAAACTGTGCAGTAGTTACATTTTCCCCTATGTAAAACTTGTTAAATTGCATGTGCTTTATACTACCTATATTGGTATATTTATAAGTAACAGAAAAAGAATGTTGAAGATGCCGGCTATGTATTGGTATTTGTTCATTCAAAACAAAAACTAAAATTTCGGGTGCGGTGGCACACACCTTTAATCCAGCATTTGGGAAGTAGAGCTTTGTGAGTTCCAGGCCAGTCCAGTCTAATTAATATACATAGTGAGTTCCAGGACAGCCACATCTACATAACAGAGAGATCCTGCCTCAGAAAACAAACAAACAAAAAAAGCCACACTAAAATTGGGATTGAAGGAAATGGTTAAAACATCTTAAAGCCTATTTCTTTTTTCATAAAGTTACCACCCACCATTAAGCAGAACAGTCAGCTTGTCTTGCTGTTTCCAGTCCTAGGGGAGGATAGAGATCTCTGGTTTTCCTCTCACACCACATAGCTTTGTTGGTTACATTGATACCAGGAGGTACGGAAACAAAACAGGGTTAATATTAGAAAATAAAGGCAGCGATCTATGTATACAGGATATTACTGCGTGTTTGGAGGGCAGCTGAGTTAGCTATTGGAATTGGTAAGGGTTTTTGGTTTTATTGCTATTGTAACTTTTTAGAGAATATATGATAATAAGTAGATTTTATTGTTCAGCAGTTCTATTTTGAAATATGAAAAACCCATTCAAAATGAAAATACAATGAAAGATACCAGTTCACTTAGCAAGAAAAATACAGAACCTATATTGGGATCATAAAATATATTTGGAAGAAAAACCAAATTCCAAACATATGAAAAAACATAAATTTCTTAAGTGTAAGAAAGAATTCGAGGAACAGGAAACATAAGTGGGTAATAAACACTAAGTCATGTTCAACTTTAGTAGATACGGAAATGCAAATTAAAGTGAACTGTCCTCTTAGGATGAAAGAATTCTGAAGCTCCCTCTAAACTCAGTGCCCAGAAATGTGTGAGGATGTAGCACTTACATGTGTTGCTTGTAGGAGTGTGAATCACTGTAACCTTGCTGGGAAGTTATCTCTTGCTACCTGCTAAAATTAAAAGTGTATCATGTTTCGGCTGGAGAGATGGCTCAGCAAATAAGAGCGTGTCCTGCTGTTGCAGAGGACTAGAGAGCTCCGTTCCAGAGCCCATACTAGGGAGCTCCCAACCCCCTGTAACTGCAGCTCCCGGGAGATCTGACGCCCTTTTCTGGCCTCCATGGGCACCTGTACCCACAGCCCCCTCCCCATATACATGATTTAAAACAAAATAAAACAAAACTTAAGGCTGTATGAAGCTGAAGGCCTTTAGTCCTACTATTTAGGAGGCAGGTGGGCCTTTGTGAGTTCCGTGAGTTCAAGACCAGCCTGGTGTACATAGTAAGTTCTAGACTGGCTAGGGATCCACAATGAGACCTGTCTCAAAACAACAACAACAACAAAAACAAGCCAGGCAGTGGTGGCATAAGCTTTTAATCCCAGAACTTGGGAGGCAGAGGTAGGCCGATCTCTGTGAGTTTGAGGCCATCCTGGTCTACAGAGCAAATTCCAGTACAGCCAGGACTGTTACACAGAGAAACCCTGTCTCAAACAAAGAAAAAAAAATATCAAACAAACAAAAAAACTTCCTCTTTATCCAGTAATTTCAGATCAGTTTATGTTGTCTTTGATGAAGATCTTATCTATCTAAAGGATAAAGTCACCATGTTTTGAGATGTACATATACGCCACTATGTAGTGTACCACCTCATAATCCTTAAACCCTGAGACTAAGTGTTCTTTAGGGAAACTTTGAAGTAGTTCTTTAGCCCAGCAGGGCTATTCTTCAGTATAGTCGTTCTTTATGTATTGTGTGTGTGTGTGTGTGTGTGTGTGTGTGTGTGTGTGTGTGTGTGTGTGTGTGTGTGTGCTCAGATGTTGAGTTAAGCATAGGTGTATGGAGTAGCTTTCTCATTCTCCAGTGCTATGAAACCAGCCACACTAGACAGCCCACAGATCTGTTGTGCACATAGGCCAGCTGAGTCTGAGTAAGTGACCTATGAGGACCCCATCGTTGGCTTTTGGGCTGGGAGGCCCCTTCACCTGCCTCGCTCTCCTGTTTTCTCACCTGACTCTTTTGGTGTGAGGATCAGCATGCTGGTCCTCACAGGCATAGCTGAGCCAAGTAGAGAGAGTTGTGTTGCTTCATGTGACCAGCCCTAGAAGTCAGGTAGTTCCGCTTCTGTTACTGTGTTCCTGTGAGGGACACTGACTCAAGTTGAAGTCAGGATAGACTCTGCTTGTATTGGGGGTGTGGTCAAGACTGGAGGAGCCAGTGAGACTGGAACCTCCACTGGCTGGGCTTCTAAGTGGGGGTGGGGGCAAGACGGGAGGAGCCAGTGAGACTGGAACCTCCACTGGCTGGTCTTCTAAGGCATTTTCAAACTAAGGCTAACGACATCAAGCTCATTCTTACCGAGTCTCAGCTAAAGGGTTTGCTCTGTGCTGCCCGAAGATGTTAGCAGATTAGGATTGGATCGATACCAGAGACTTTTGTTTAGCCACCATGCTGTTTGTACTCTGCTATTTCTGACTGTCTTTATCCTAGAGGTGGCTCTGGTCAGGGTGCTATCACTGTGAGCCAGGGGCTGGCTGAGGATGTGTGGACAACAGGTGACATGCACTCTCTCCATCCCAGATTTGAAGACAGCACCAACAGAGGTGCTGATTAGACCAGCCTGCTGGCCTCAGAACATTCCATGCACTGATGCTGCTCAGTATTATTCTTGGCGTTTATTCTCTGCTTCTCCAGGTTTTCTTTGTGTTTAAGGACTACCTAGTGGTGGTTGGTGGGCTGTTTTTCACTTAGAGTTTGATGGCACTGTGGACTGTAACAGTAATGACAAGCACACAGGCCATTTAAGATTTATGGAGCAGCCATAAATGCAGGAACCTGCTCTCGGAGATCTGTGACTGACAGCAGACTTGAACTGATGTTGCCATGTTGCCAAGGACACGGTGAGGGTGTAGTCTTCATTATGATTATGAGCTAGAGTCTAGACTAGGAGGTCTAGTGGTGTGGGGAGAAGGTAGCCTGGGTGTGGACATTACCCTGGCCCATGTTCGTGGCCCTTAATCCCAAGCCAGAGGCTCTTTTGTGCTTTAAGAGCCAGCCGTACCAGGAGTGGTGCAGCATGTACTGTATGGCCGTAGACGAGAAGTGCACATTGTTTTAAGTGGAGCTTTTTATATGGAAAAGAAAATTGTTTACACAAGGTATAAAACTGTGTTTCAGGAGTAGACCCATGTCTGCAAACAGAGAATAGAATTCCTGGGCCCTTGATGACTGCAGCTGCACCTAAACCACAGAAGTCTCGGGCTACCAACTCAAGGGATGAGCGCTTCCGGTCAGGTAGGTTCATAGCTCTGGAAGTGCAGGGGTAGGAGATGGGGTTGCAGCAGTCCGGACACTCTGTTCTGACTGGTTAGTTTTTCTTTGCTAGAATGTCCATCAAAGAAGTAGTTACTTATTTTTCATTTGAGGGTAGTGGCACAAACCTTGAATCCCAGCGCTTGGGAGGCAGAGACAGGCAGATCTCTGTGAGTTTGAGGCCAGTGTGGTCTACAAATCGAGTGCCAGGACAGCCAGGGCTGTTACATAGAGAAACCCTGTCTTGAAAAAAAAAGTTATTTATTTTTCACCTGAGTGGTAATTAAAGTCATTATATTGTTCATTCAAGAAAGCAGAAACTTCATATAATTTGGGTGTTTTTTTTTTTTTTAAATATTTTTGGTTTTTTGAGACAGGGTTTCTTTCTGTATCAGCTTTGGCTGTCTTGGAACGTGCTCTGTAGACCAGGCTGGCCTCGAACTCACAGAGATCTGTCTGCCTCTGCCTCGAGAGTGCTGGGATCAAAGACATGAGTCATTACGCCTGGCTCAGATAGTTTGTTTTAATGTCTCTCTTTTTGTACATATTGATTGCCTTAGCGGTTGCTTGCTTGCAACAAGTGTGTGTGTGTGTGTGTGTGTGTGTGTGTGTGTGTTTATGTGTGTATTTGTGCGAGTTCTTGTATGTGTGCATGTATGCATGTACATGCAAGTGCCATCTACTCTTTTTTTAGCTTTGAGCTAGGGTAGGCTATCCTGGCTGGCCAGTGAGCTCAGCAAGCCTCTCATTTCTGCCCCCCTAGCATTGGGATTACAAGTGCACCTAGATATTTTTAAGCTGTGAGTCCTGGGGGTCAAATTCAGGTGCTTGTGCTTGCAGTGCAAGCCCTTTACTGACTATGTGTCTGTCTGGTCTGTAGAGAACCCTTCCTCTCCTGCCTACCAGGACAGCATGCTTGCTGTTTTGTTTACTTCTCCACCAGGAGCTCTGGGGTGACACAGTAGTAGTGTCTGTGTAGGGAAGTCACTGTATGACCCGTGTAACTTAAATTTCCTTTCAATTAGATCTCCCCACTATTTAGCAATGCTTTTTCTAAATATTTAAATGTTTTTATCTTATTTTACTTTTAAAAAGTTTTGCTCATTTGTTTATTTTGAGTATGTGTATGTGTGTGTGTGCATATGTGCCATGGTTCACACATGGAGGTCACAGAACTTGAAGGAGCTGGTTTTTCTTTTACTTTGTAGGTTCTAGGGACCAAACTTAGTGTGTCAGGTGGTAATAAGTACCTTTATTTGCTGAACCATCTTGTCCCTGGCACCTTTATTTTGAGACAAGTTTTCAGTCTCATGTAGCTCAAGCCGGCCTGGAACTTACTATGTATTGGTGTATGGCCTTTAACTCCTGATCCCTTTGTTTCCATCTTGGGGACTAAGAGTATGGTCATGTACCAAAATGCCTGGTTTATGTGTACTGGGGTTGCAACCCAGGGATTCATACATGCTATGCAAGCATTCTACCAGCTGAGCTATACATGTGTGCCAACTGACCTGTGCACGTGTGTGTCCAGGTGTGCTTCTGTGTGGAGACCAGAGGTTGATGTTGGCCGTCTTTCTTAATCACAGTATACCTATTTTTTTAAAATAACGGATGAGTTGACTACTGCATATGCTGTATAATCATTGAAACATCCATAGTGTGAACTCACTGACCTTCTAAGATGCTGACATTGATCTCTAGGATGTGGTTTTCAAAATGTGTCTACTTGATTTTTGTTGTTGTTGCTATGTTTTGTTTTGTGAACCTGCTGATTAGCTAGAATGGCTGGCCAGTGAACCTCTTGGGGTCCACAGCTTTTTTATTTTTATTTTATAACTGGAAGTATTCATCAAGTTCAAGAGTGAGTCCTCAAGCAAAGCAATGTCTAGAGAGAGGTATGGGGTGAGTGGGTAGTCAGTGCATTTTTTTTTTCTGCTTGGTGTAAGCAAACATACAAATGGATTATAATCAGTATATCATAACCAGTGTGGTAAAACAGCTACTGCTACTTTTGTTCCTGTGCAGATGTCCACACAGAAGCCGTGCAAGCGGCTTTGGCCAAGTACAAAGAGAGGAAGATGCCCATGCCTTCAAAACGACGGTCTGTCCTTGTGCATTCATCCGTGGAGACCTGTACTCCTCCAGGTATTGATAAATGGCTTCAGGACGGATTTTTATGAGTGTGTCATAGGCCTGGTGGTATAGTATTTATTTTCACTGAATTGGAATATCCTTGTAGCCTGTAATACAGGTTTGAGGAATTTAGAAATTAAAAATGTTTACATATGGGCTGGAGAGATGGCTCAGGGGTTAAGAGCACTGACTGCTCTTCCAGAGGTTCTGAGTTCAATTCCCAGCAACCACATGGTGGCTCACAACCATCTGTAATGTGATCTGGTGCCCTCTTCTGGCATGCACTGTATACATGATAAATAAATAAATCTTTTTAAAAAAAGAATAAAAAGAAATAGATTTTAATGTTTACATATGTGCATATTCCTTACCTAAGAATTTATAGTATGTTTGGTATTTTTCTTATCCAAGTAAATATTTGTATTATAGTGGGATTTTTGTATGGATTTTACTTTTTTTTAAAAAAAAAACTAAGATGCTATTTATACCTTTTAGTAAAGAGATCAACCTAAAACAGGCACTTAGTAGAGTGCAGACTTCTGGAACTGAATTTTAAACTTATTCTTTTTTTGTTTGTTGTTTGCTTTTTGAGACAGGGTTTCTCTGTGGCTTTGGAGGCTGTCCTGGAACTAGCTCTTGTAGACCAGGCTGTTCTTGAACTCACAGAGATCCACCTGCTTCTGCCTCCCAAGTGCTGGGATTAAAGGCATGTGCCACCAACGCCCACTTAACTTACTCTAATTCATTCTCTTTGTCTGTTGTGCTGCTGACCTCCTAGCCATGTCTCTACTGGGGCCATTTAAAATGCTTGTTTAGAGGGTCGGGTATATTTTAACATCAGTTGCTACCTCTGGAAATCAAAATGTGTAGATAGGTTTCTCTCTAACGTCCTGTTAAGCCAGACTGAGGTGCTGATGTCTGGTGGCTTCATCCACGCATCTCCACTGATGTTACTCATGTTACCGAGTCAGAAAATGTTGACAGTCATTGAGGCCTGATGTGTTTGGAATACTAAATATGGTAAAGAGTGGATTGTGTGAGATTTGCAAGGTGACCTGGCAGCTCGGTAGGTGCTTCTTCCCTTTTAAGAAAAGCTTATTGGAAGAAGTCTTTAGAAATGATTGCCACATCCACTGTCTCTGTTAATAACACTATAGGCACTATCCAAAGTTAAAATGCTTTAACAACTGTAATAAAATGCAGGCAGGCCGACCTGATGGAAGCTTAGTTCACAAATAGTTTTATGAGCCGAAGCAATTATGTTGAGAAAGAACCCATTCCAGAGTTTCTTCTCCCGTTTTCCTTATGAACGTAGATGTAGACAGGGCCATAGTCTCCCTAACACATGCAGTGCTGCGACATTCTCGCATGGGCTAGCATATTTGTTGTGGGCCGTGGCGGCGCCATGCTGCTGTGTGGACGTGGTGTCAGGCCGTGTGGATGTACAGCAATGAGTGCTGGACAGTCACAGAGCACATCACAGTTGGAATTTCCTAGGTTCAGGGGAAAGAATGCTGTTTTTATTCCTAGCATGTGATATACTATGGCCAAGGCCTCTGTGGGGACCTTGGCACTCATGGGATCACTTCCCAAAGGTAGGACTTCCTATGTGCCCTTCTGAAGGTGATCTTTGAGCTGCCCACTTGCCATGTAGGGTAGAACTGTGCTTCAGGCCCGGAGATGAGTGAGAGGCCCTCTCCCTCCCTTGGCCCATCTCTACATCATGCTTGTCATCGTTATTTTAATCACAGACACGTCATCTGCCTCAGAAGATGAGGGCTCTTTACGGCGACCTGGGCGACTCACCTCCACTCTGCTCCAGAGCCATTCCAGCATCGAGCCCTGGCTCGACAGGGTCATTCAGGGCTCGTCCACTTCATCCTCTGCATCCTCCACCTCATCCCACCCGGGAGGGAGACCTGCTGCTGCTCCTAGTGCCGCCACAGCGCTTGCAGGCCTCACGGCCCACGCCCACATAGGTCAGTAACAGCTGCCTGGTCCTGCCAATCGGGAAGTGCCAGCACTGTCCGGGACAGAGGACTACTATCCAGTGACTGAGGTCACGAGCCAGATGTCACATGGTGCCTTGTCTGCCTGAGATATCAGCTGGTTTTTAGCTTTCAATAATCGCATTTGACACAATGGAGCCATACTTGGATGGTTTGGCATCCAGATTACGGTGAACAGAATGGCTCTGTTGCTAAGTTTCTGTCTCCATCCAGATCCACCTCTTTCTTATCTGAAATGTGTCTTTTTGGGACAGAAACAATCTTGTAATTCCGTGGCCTGGCAGTTCTAGGCTGGGGGGGGGGGCCCCCCCCCCCCCCCCCCGCCCCCGTCCTCAGTGACATGCTGTTCTCTTGACGTCCTGTTGTCCTTTCCTGTTTTCCAGGTGGTTGTAATGGCCACCCTGGGCCTAGCTCTCTAGTCACTGTCTCTCCTGTGGCTTTTTGCATATGTGTCTATAAGGGCCACGTGTTGTCCTTGTGCACGGGTCCTGAGATGGGGGCTAAGGTTATAGTTTTGGTCTGGCCTTTCTTGCTGCAGATAGTCCTCTTCCTAAAATCAAGATGTCAGTCAAAGCCAGTCTTAAAGATGCAGGAGTCTTCTTAGTCACAAGCTCTTGGATGACAGTAATTTGGAAAGCAAGAAGTGACACCTTGAGCATATAAGCAGAAGTTTTGTGATTAGTTGTATGTGAAAGCCCACAGACATTCCTGTCCTAGCACCTTAAAATGTAGTCCATATTAAAGGCTCATCTCATCCCTCCTTCTCCTACATGAAGAAAGAGGACAAAAATAATAATAATAAAATGACTGTAGCTTGCTGAGATCACACACTGCTTAGTGGGGAAGAGTGTTGGCCCCAATGTTGTTGGTGCACCTTCATTTTCTTGTCTGATGGGCTTAGGGTGGTTGGTGAGCGCCTACAGTGTGTCAGGACTGGTTGATGGAGCCGTAAGGTGGAGCAAGCCACTGTCGATGGTGCTGGGAGCATGTTCTGAGTTCTTTTCAGGTCAAGCTTGGTGTGTTGGCTGGATCAGGAGTGAGTGGGGATGTTTCTTCTGGTGGGCTGTGGCTTGTCTCAACACCTTCTGTGGAGCATGTCAGTTCAGCTCATCGATTTTTATTTGTTTGAGTCCTTGTACGATTCCTGTCTATTCGCTGAACATATATTTTCCACTGCAATGTGTGTCAGGTGGCAACTGTGGTTCCTCTGCCACACCGTGCTTCTTGCTCACAGAGCAGTCGCATGAATAACAGGGGGAAGAGTAGTAATAAAACAGCTGCCTGCAGGGTGTCTGTGGTGCCGTTTCCTGTGTGGCTGGTGGCTGCAGCCTACCTTTCCTCAAGGAATTTGACAGTCCGGGGCAGGAAGGCAGCCAGTGCTGTGCTTTCCTGTTTATATGGAGGCTTTATATTGTTTTTGTTTTACACTTATTTACTCATTTAGCTGTGTGCATGTGCTCGCACACGCTCACACATGCTTGCCACACTTCTGTGCGGGCGCACATACACCTCTGTTGGCATGAGGGGAGGCCAGACAAGAACACTGACTACCTCGCTCCATCTGCCCTTTTCCCCTGAGACAGGATCTCTCACTCACCCTGGCATTAGGCCGTTGCCAGCACGCCCCAGCCCTCTCATTGCTGGGGCTATAGTCATGCACATCCCTGCTTTTTACATGGGTCCTGGGATCCGAACTCAGGCCCTCATGCTTGCCCAGCATGCTCCCTTACCCACTGAGTCGTGTTCCATTACCTCGTCTCTGCTGTGCGAAGCTCTTTTCTAAGGGCACAGGACTCAGGAGCACACTGCATTAGGGGCCCGTCCCTGCCCAGCTGTTACTTCTTGGTCACGTTTAGCATGCCAGGCTAGCCATAGCTCACAGCATTCGGTCAGACGGCCCTCAGGGCTCCAGTAGTTGTGCTATGGGTGTCTTCACAAGAACGCTGTGGTGTGTGGAGTTAGGTGTGTTCATTCTCTGAAGAGCAGCGCGATTCGCCACAGGCCTTGGCAGATGATCCATCCTGCCTCCCGAAGCTGTGCTGTGAGAGTCCCCTCCCTTTTTTACTTGCTGGGCCTAGCATAGATGTTTTCTGATTGATTCTCCTCAGTGTCAAAAAAAAAAAAAAAAAAAAAAATCTCGGCTTGGATCCCACGACCTTACTGCAGATGTAGTTTTGGATCCCACGACCTTCCTGTAGATGTAGTTTTGATGTGATAATGTAGTTGAAGAGCACAGTTAACTTGATTTCTACATTTTATTCCCCAGTTTCAAAAAAAAAAAAAAAAAAAAAATCTCGGCTTGGATCCCACGACCTTACTGCAGATGTAGTTTTGGATCCCACGACCTTCCTGTAGATGTAGTTTTGATGTGATAATGTAGTTGAAGAGCACAGTTAACTTGATTTCTACATTTTATTTATTTATTCCTTTAACTCCAAATGCATGTAAAGCTATTTATTTTGTGTGTATGTGTGTGGGGACATCATGGTGCATGAGTCGGGGTCAGAGGAGCTGGTTCTCCTCTTTCCATCATGTGGGTTCTGGGGATTTGAACCCTGGTTGTAAGACTTGGCGGTAATTGCCTTCACCTGTGCACCCAGCCGACCAGTGCTTTGTTATTTTGCAATTAATGCAGATTTGTGTGTGTGTGTGTGTGTGTGTGTGTGTGTGTGTGTGTGTGTGTGTGTGTCCTCGCATGCACGCATGCGTGTGCCACAATGTGTATGTGGAAGTCAGTTCCCTCCTTCTACTGTGTGCTCCAGGAATGAACTCAGGTCAGAAGGCTTGTGTGGCAAGTGCTTTTATCCATGGAGCCATCTGATTGGCTCTTAACTTGATTTCCATCTCCAGTCTGAAATGTCGATCAGCGCATTGGGACATTTCAGGGTTTCAGTTAGGAGTCTTAACTAGTGAAGTATATGAATGTCTGATTTCTGAAATACAAAGCTCCTATGTCATTGGCATAGGGGATACTCAGGTTGTATGCTCCTTTCCTGTCCTCGTGGCAAAACCATCGTTTCATTTCTAGCTCCAGATGGATGAACTTCAAATGAACTAAGGAAATATGCGTAAGAATAATGTATTAAGTAAAAAATTTGAAGTGGAACTTACTAGGTAAGGGTATTTTTTTTAAGCATTAGTTTCAGTTTTTGGATTAAGGAAATAAAATACATTAAACATTTTGACATAGATTTGAAATGTATTCAAAGACAATGCTTTTAGGAATAGTTTTTGTTTTTGTTTTTCAAGATAGGGTTTCTCTGTGTAGTCATGGCCGGCCTGGAACTGGCTCTGTAAACCAGGCTGGCTTTGAACTCAGAGATCCACCTGCCTCTGCTACCCAAGTGCTGGGATGAAAGGCATGTGCCACCAACGCCCCTCAGAAAGTTTAGTTTTATGTAGCTGTTTAAAAAAAAACTACTTTGTTGTATATAAGTTATCTTCTTTCTGCATATGCTTTTAAAATCATTGTTTTTTTTTTTAATTTTTTGCTAGGTTTGGAAGCACAGGGATGTTTCTGTATAAGCTGAAAGCTCTTCCTGATACAGACTTTAAAATGCTTCTGTGCTCATCACCAGGCCTTTTCAGGGGTTGTGAAAACTGCCGTTGAAGCTTTAGTTTTTTTTTTTTTTTCAAAAAGTATATTCTGTTTTATAAATAGTAAGCTTGTGTTTTATGCAAGGCTCCCTGAACCTTCTATGTATTTTCTTTCTTCGTATACATTCAGTTCTTTGAATCGTATCCACGTTAATGAAACAATAGACGGTCAGAGTAGAAACACCAGAGTGTTAAGAGTGCATAGTGAGCAGCACATTGATTTAAATATGGCAGATTACCGGCCTTCACCACACATAGGCTCAGTGCACTAACTGGTTGCATTCAGTGTGTGGTACAATGCCGCATCCAACCGTTTCTCCACTGTCATCCCTTTCACAGCGTTACACTCAACAGTAGTGGAAATTGCCATAGCAACTTACAGTCAGTATTTGGAACCAATCAGAGTACTGTTCCATGAAAATTACATTTTTTTTTTTTGAGAGAGAGAGAGAGTTTCTCTGTGTAGCTTTGTAGGCCAGGCCAGCCTTGAACTCACAGAGATTCTCCTACAACTGCCTCCTGAGTGCTGAGATTAAGGTGTGCACCACCAGCTCCTGGCCAAAACACTTTTTTATGTTGAGAGAATGAAATGAATAATTGATTTGGTTTTTTTTTTGTTTTGTTTTTGTTTGTTTTTTTGAGACAGGGTTTCTCCGTGTAGCTTTGGAGCCTATCCTCGCACTCGTTCTGGAGACCAGGCTGGCCTCTAACTCACAGAGATCCACCTGCCTCTGCCTCCCGAGTGCTGGGATTAAAGGCGTGTGCCACCAACGCCCAGCGAAAGGAATAATTGAAATTGTATATCATGCACTCTGTCTTATGTAGCATCAATTGATTGTACATTAAGTTGATTGTGGTCTCTTAATTTTTTTTTCTTTTTTTTTTTTGGTTTTTTGAGACAGAGTTTCTCTGTATTGCTTTGGAGCCTGTCCTGGAACTCACTCCATAGATCAACCTGGCTTCGAACTCACAGAGATCCGCCTGCCTCTGACTCCCGAGTGCTGAGATTAAAAGCGTGCACCACCAACGCCCGGTGTGGTCTCTTAATTTTTAAAATATCTTATTCATTTGAAATGGGGTTGTGCCATGCTACACAGGCTGGCCTTGAACTTGTGACCCCTCTGTCTTTGCCCCCAAAGTAGTTGGACTTATAGGTGTGCAACACTTATAGGTGTGTCAGGAGACTTGCAGAAATTTTTAACTAGAATATGGTGCACTCTTAGTTTTTGTACTTCATTATTTAAAAATTTTCCAGGCACAGGGTCTCAGCATGTAACTCTGGCCTGGAACTTGCTATGTATACCAGGTTAGCCTTGAACTTAGATCTGCCTACCCCTGTCTCCTGAGGTACTGTTATTAAAGGGTTATTTAATGCCTGGCTAGTCTTTGTATTTTTAAAGATTTATTTTTATTTTATGTGTATTCGTGTTTTTAATAAGGCATTTATGTATATGCCTTATTAGCATGCAGTGCCCATGAAGGCCAGAAGAGGGTGCAGGATTATCTTGAACTGGAGATACAGACAGTTGTGAGCTGCCATGTCGGTGCTGGGAACTGAACCTGGCTCCTTAGCCAAGAGCAACAATTGCTCTTAACTGCTGAGCCATCTTCCTGTCCTCTAATTTTTGTTCTTGTGTTATTTGGCCACAAAGATGATGTCTTCATAACATCCAACCTACTTTTAGGGAAGTTACAAGGCTGGTTGCTTCCTCCTAATGTGACAAGAAGCATTTAGTAGCATTTTATTTCAAATTAATTTTTGTTTCCTTGAGGAAACTTTCTAGCTAAGCTCTTGTTAGGCTGTTGTGTTAACAGGCAAGTTTTCTGTGCACTTTGTGATATAGTTGGTGGTTCTAGAGCTGTCTTTTTTTTTTTTTTTGCTTTTTTTATTAATTTATTTTTTTACATTCCAATCCCAGTTCCCCCTCTCTCTTCCCCTCCTTCTTCCCTCCCCCACCTCCCATCTGCTTCTCAGAGAGGGTAAGGCCTCCCCTAGGAAGTCTACTAAGTCTGTCCCATCATCTTGTTGAGGCAGGTCTAGGTCTGTCTTTTACGGAGTTAAATTGAGACACCTCCCAACACACGCGCACATTTCTGCATAGCATGCGTGGGGGTGTAGAGGACCCTGCAGGCCTTTGTTTAGCCAGGAAAGCAAAACTTTCAGGATACCATAATTAATCCCTTGCTTAGAGTTCAGACAATGAAACTATCGACTGACCGGTTGAGATAAACACTTAATGCTTGTTGAATTAATGGCTGTTATTTGGGTCTGGTTTTCATGTTTCAGATCTTCACGCTGCCCCTCCCGATGTCACCACCGGGCTCTCGGAGCATTCCCACTACGAACGTCCACAGGTGGCGTCTGTGAGAGGTATTCCTCGAGGGCACGGCAGGAACGTGCTGGAAACTGCGGATGGTAAGAAACACGTCACTTTCTTTTCTGAAACAACAGAGGAACAGGTTTTCTCTGTGGTATTTAACATGCCTTTATGTATTCCCTTTCTCTAAACCAGACATCACTTATGATTCCTCTGTGCAAATAGACAGAAACCAGTGTGCAGTGAATGTTACCTTAGAAAACATCATGCAGGCCGGGCGTTGGTGGCGCACACCTTTAATCCCAGCACTCGGGAGGCAGAGGCAGACGGATCTCTGTGAGTTCGAGGCCAGCCTGGTCTACAGAGCCAGTTCCAGGATAGGCTCCAAAGCTACACAGAGAAACCCTATCTGGAAAAACCAAAAAAAAAAAAAAGAGAGAGAGAGAGAAAGCATCATGCAGAAGAATAAGTGGAAATAGCTGGGAAGCAGCTCCCCCTTCCAGGTTTGGAGAAGGGAAATAAATAAGCAGCTGTGGAAGGTTCCTATCCTCAGAGTCTGCACGGCAAGCTGGGTGCCCTGCCACATATCCTTGGCAGCTTTTGAGGTTGTTGCAGACTCAGTGAACGATGTTAGGGGGGGATTTAGAGCTTCAAATAGTAATACTGAAAATAAAAATGTCTGAACTCAGTCTTCTAAGAGTTTCCTTAAGCAGGAAAAGAACAAAATAAATCTAAAGTTGAAGGAAAGAAATAATATGTAGATAAGCCTGAAACTTAACACCCCACACAAGACAAAGACAGCAGAGAGACACACACTGAAGGTTAGCTCTTTGAAAGACCAAGGTGATCTTATGATTTCTCTTTGTGTGCATCATGATACAGAGCGGTAAGGCACACTGAAGGTGCCTTATTTATCTACACTTCTAGTCATCAAAGGAGTGGGACCCTAGCCAGAGACATCAAGCAAAGGAAAATAAGAGACATCCAAACTGTAAGGAAGTGAAACTATCTCTTTGTAGGTTATATGATCTTGTTTGTGCAAAACCAAAATATAAACGCATTCACACAGAAAAAATTAATAAATGGCTTCAATGAAGTAGCAAGACACACAGCCATCAAAGAAAGATCAGTTTCAAATTATATTATGTTAAATTAAGATTACTCAGAGTGTACTTACTACTCAGCGATAAGAAACAATGACATCCTAAAATTTGCAGGCAAATGGACAGAACTAGAAAAAAACATCCTTAGTGAGATAACCCAGACCAATATAGTGTGCACTCACTCATAAGTGGATACCAGACATAAAGCAAAAGATACCCAGCCTACAATCCATAACCCCAGAGAAGCTAGAACCCTCTTCCAGAAACAGATGGAAGCAGATGCAGAAATCCACAACTAACCAATGGGCTGAGCTCCTGGAGTACAATCAAAGTGAGGGAGGAGCGATAATATGAACAAAGGAGTCAAGACCATGCTGGGGAAACCCACAGAAACAGGTGACCCGAGCTACTGAGAGATTACTGACTCAGGTCTGTCAAATGGGGAACCTGCATAAGACCAAACTAGACTCCCTTAATATAGGTGACAGTGGTGTGACTGGGACAGTATATGAGGTCACTGGTAGTGGATCCAAGATCTAATACTAATACACAAACTGCCTTAGTGGAGCCCATTCTATATGGAGAGATAACCTTGCTCAGCCTAGACACAGGAGTGTGGGGAGTAGAGAGGTGCCTTGGTTCTGCTTCAACAAAATGATGGGACAGATTTAGTAGACTTCCTAGGGGAGGCCTTACTCTCTCTGGGGAGCAGATGGGAGGTGTAGGGGTAATAGAGAGGAGGGAGGGGGAACTGGGATTGGAATGTAAAAAATAAATTAAAAAAAGAAGTCTAAAAAAATAAAAAGATTATTCAAAGTAATCTATAAATTCATTATATAATCCCCATGAAAATTTTAGTGATTTTTTTTCAGAAATAAACTCATCTAAGAATTCATAGGAACCTTAAATGGTCATGATAACCTTAAAAATGAAGACCACAGCTGAGGATGCTCATGTCTCTAAGATTTATTATAGGGCAGGAGCAATCAGAGCTGTGTAGGACTGGCATGAAGACAACTCTACATCCAGGAACAGAACAGGAAATTCAGAAATCAGCCCTTCCATATATGATCAGATGGCTTTTATTAGTTTTTTTGTTGTTGTTTTGTTTTTTGAGACAGGGTTTCTCTGCATTTCTGGCTGTCCTGGAACTCCCACTGTACACCAAGCTGGCCTTGAACTAACAGAGGTCTTCCTGCCTCTGCTGTGATTAAAGGCATGCACCACACCCCAGCTCACATGACTTTTTGAAATCACATTCTGTCTGTCTGTCTGCCTGTCTGTCTGTCTGTCCGTCTGTCCATCTGTCCATCTGTCCATCCTTCCATCTGTCCATCCAGTGTGCATCTATTTATGAGTGCATGTGCACACATGCCTGCACATATCAGGACACACACATGACATGTGGAGGTCAGTTGAGGAAGGAGAGAGCCTTCAGCTGTATGAATTCTGAGCATTGAACTCAGGCCATCAGGCTTAGTGGCAAGCACTTTTACCCACTGAACCTTCTGCCAACACCTCAGGTGATTTTTAACAAGGGTGCTAAGATCATTCAACAGGAAAAAGACAGTCTTCAGCAGATGGTGCTGGGTAACTGAGATATCACTTATAAAACAATGAAGTTAGACCTTTCTCTAACACTGCATACAAAACTCAAATGGATCAAAGGCCTAATACTATGAAACCATTAAAAAGGAAACACTGGGCATTAACTTCATTACATTGCATTTTCTTGTATGACGCCAAAGACATAAAAAAATATTGAATTTCATCAAAGTTTAAAATATGCCTCTAGATATGCCTGTGAGGGATTATCTATATGAGGTTAGTCTCTGAGCATGCCTGTGAGGGTTATCTAGATTAGGTTAGTTGAGGTGGGGACAATGCACCTTGTACTGGGTGACACTGTTGCGTGACCTGGGGTCCTGGATTGCATAAGAAGGAGAAAGCGAGCTGAGTGTATGCATCTCTCACTCTCCGTTTCTAAATAGTGGGTACAGTGAGAGCAGTTGCTTCACTCTTGCTGCTTAGGCTTCCCCCACAGGATGGAAAGTATCCCATTAAACCGTAAGCCAGAATAAACCCATTTCCTGTAAATCTCTTTTGTCAGGGTATTTTTGTCATAACAACAGGAAAGAAAGGAGCAGGTAAACCATTTTAGGAATCTTCTCTGAATATACTCCTCCAAAAATAAGGAAATAGATGTATGTGTGCATGGTTATAAGTTACAGCACTGGTTTTAATTATATTATTATATTAGAAATTACATAAATTATCCAAGCCTCATAAATTGGCTCAATGAAGCTAGCAGGTTCACATTGTAGAGTACTGTGCATTTGTCAAAACGGATGAGAAGGATCTTTGTGAACTATGTTGAAGTGCTTCTCCAGAGTCAAGGGACATTCATAGTCTTCCACATCTGTGTAAGAAAGAAGAAGAAAAGCATGGCTGTGTCTGCACTTCTTTGCGGTAGGACACAGGAAGGGTAATCAGAAAGCAGTGAGAATGGTTATCTTTTAAGAGGAGGTACAAGAGGGAAGGGTATAGCAGGAAGCGATCTGAGTTTATCTGTTATGTGGTGGGTGGTTTGAATGAGCATGGCCACGATCGGCTAATGTATTTGAATGCTTATTCACCAGCCAGTGGAACTGTTTGTAGATTAGAAGGATTAGGGGGCGTGGCCTTATTTAAGTAGGAGTGGCCTTGCTGGAGGAAGTGTGTCACTAGAGGTGGGCTTTGAGTTTTCAAAAGGTCATAGCAGGCCCAGTCTCTCTCTCTCTCTCTGCCTGCTGATTGTGGATCAGGATGTAGAGTTTCGGCCACTGCTCCAGCACCATGCCTGTCTGCTTTCCACCACGATGATTAAGGACCAAGCCTCTAAAACTGTAAGCAAGCCCCCAGTTTGATGCTTTCTTTTCTAAGAGTTGCCTTGGTCTTTCAGGAGAACACTATGAGTAGGGTAAAGGATTTGTTTTGTCCCATGGTTTCAGAGGTCTCAATTCTTGTCACTTGACCCCTCCATTGTAGGCCTGAGACCAGGCTGATAACTGTGGTGGGAATATGTTATCATGACTGCCAGAAAGCAAAGAGCCGGAGAAAGGGTATGGGGAAAAGATACATCTTTAAAGTTACATATCCTGATGACCCGCTTCCTCTAATTTGCCCTACCTCCTGGGGCACATTCAGCTGTGAACTCATCCGTGGGGTCAAGCTTTGTATTTCCTGTTACTTTGCTGTTCCAATGATAAAACATAGCAACCAAGAGCAACTGATAGAAAAAAGAGTGTGTTCTGGCTTACCATTCCTGAGGGGCAGAGTCCATAAGGGCAGGGAAGCTTGCAGCAGGCAGAAGGAGCTGGAAGCTCAGTGATCAAGTATTTCTTCCATACATCGGAAACAGAGATCCAGTGGGAAATAGGGCAAAGCTATATATAGTTTATAGATAATAGAGAAATAGCTCCTCAGTTAAGAGCACAGACTGTTCTTCCAGAGGACCCAGGTTCAAGTCTCCTAGTGACATACATCCTTGAGCAAGGTTCTAAGTTCTAAAAGTTCCATAACCTCCCCAAATAACACCACCAACTGGGGACCAAGTCTTCAAATAATTGACCCATGGGAAACACTCCTCATTGAAGCCACAATAGTCCTCATGATCCAGTTGCCTCCCAGCATCATTGCAGTGCCCATAGAGGCCAAGAGAGGGCGTTGGATCCTCCAGGATTAGTTTTGAGTCGCCATGTGGGTGCTGGGACTTGAACCTGGGTCCTCTGTAAGTACAGCCTGCGCTCTTAACTGATGAGCCATTTCTCTAGTATCAATAGACTAGTATCTAACAAGACTGTGCAGTGAGTTTGACCTCATGTGCTCTGAAAGGGTGAAAGGGCCATGGAGTTACCTTCATATACCCCTGCCCCCAGGATTTCTGGATTACTTTGTAAACAGATCCTGTTTCCTGAGAGGCATTCCATAAATGCTTGTCAATGGATTAGCACCGTTTACAGTGACTGGTAGGCCAGCACTTGGCTGGATTTGTAGGTCTGCTACACTTAACAGTTTGTCATCAAACCTCCCACCCAGTGCACGCTCTGGTGGGCGTGGCATGCCACAGCTTCAGTCCTGCTCTGCTCTTCCCTTGGCAGGTGTGCCCGTGAACAGCAGAGTGTCCTCCAAAATCCAGCAGCTGCTGAATACCCTTAAGAGGCCAAAGCGGCCTCCCCTGAAGGAGTTCTTTGTGGATGATTTTGAGGAATTACTGGAAGGTAGAGTTCTCTGACTTAGTCTTTCATGTTTTTGTGACTATTGTGGCTTATTGGTTTTATGTGTAAATGTTCTGCCTGCATATATGTGGATGTACCGTGTGTGTGGTTGGTGCCTGTGGAGGTCAGAAGAGGGCACCTGATTCCCTGGCACTGGAGTTAATGGATTCCGAGACCTAAGAGCAACAATGTTCTTAACCACCTAGTGGTCTCTCTAGCCCCTCGTGCTGGTGGTTTTGATGCCTGACTGCAGAGGTGGTTGTATTCACTTGATCCAAAGCAAGCCAGTCTCTAGGATCTGTTTCTCAGGCTCTAAAGCCTTCCTGCCCCCGCTTTGGAGCTGCGGGGGTTCCCGCCATGCCACAGTGCATCCCCGAGAGAGGAAAGCAGAAATGCTGTTCTGTGGTCGGCCTTATCACATGAGGTGTTGCTTAGTAAAATTGTGAGTCGTTTTTTGTCTCAAAATTATTGTCTGTAACCGACTTCCCTTTAGTCCTTTGATTAATTTGTCTGCAACTACAATGAGGGCAAACAAAATCGGAGCAGATTTCTGTCAGTTCTTTACTAAGTTAGATTGCAAAATGAAGTCACAAAGAACAGTTGTTAGTAAACAGATTTGTACATAGTACTCTGAAATGTTGGGATTAAAAATCTTGATGTTGCTTTATAGTTCAACAACCAGACCCAAATCAGCCCAAGCCTGAGGGCGACCAGATGGCAGTGCTGAAGGGAGAGCCTCTGTCGGTGGGGACTTCTGGGCCGCCATCTCTGCTGGCTGCACTGCAGCTCTGGGGCACAACACAGCCCAAAGCCCCCTGTCTGACTGCCTTGGATACAGCGGGGAAAGCCACCTGCACGCTCACCTATGGCAAGTATCAGCAGAGAGCATTGTGCGTCCTCTTTACCTCACGCTGTTGTGTGGGCGCCACAACAGACACCGCAGTTGGTGCACGTTATAAAGCAGAAAAATCCAGATGGCAGACTTTGCTTTTTGTTTGTCTTTGTTTTTGAGACAGTCACACTATGTTGCTCTCGCTAACCTGGAACTCTCTGTAGGCCGGGCTGGCCTTCAACTCATAGCGGTCCACCTGCCTCTGCCTCCTGAGTGTTGGGATTAAAGGTGTGAGCCACCCACACCTGGCCTGACCATACTCTTGATGCTATAGCTTTCTGTAACAAGTTTTGACACCTTAGGGTCTTCTTCTCTTTTCTCAGAGGACATGCTGGCTCTTCACACTCTCTGTTTTAGGGTATTTTATAAGTAGCCTGTTGAGCATCTCTGAGCGGAGACCTTGCTCGTCAAACTTTGAAACTTGTTGAGAATTTTGAGACTTCGTTGTCAATAATGTGTTATAACTTTTCTTCGTTTCTGAACTGCGTGTACATGTGTGCCCTTGCATCTCACGGCATCCACATGGAGGGCAGAGGACTACTTGTAGAAGTCACTTCTTTCTTTCTACCATGCAGGTTCTAGGGATTGAGCTTGGGTTGTCAGATTTGGCAGCAAGTGCCTTTACCCACTGAACCATTTTGCGGGCCCCTGATTTGTAATTTTCCACAAAGAGTCTTTTATGTTTCTTGTGACACTTAAGTCTTAAATATTTAAATAGTACTGTAACTTCAGTTCTGTCTTAGAAAAATCAAATGGTATTTGTATGTTGATAAATCTGGCAGCCTTACTAAATTCAATTATAAAAGATTCATGAACTATATAATCATGGCATCCACAAACAACAATTTTATTTCCAGTTATTTTACCTTTTTACCTTTTTTACTTTTTACCTTCTGGCAGATGTTGAAGGCATCTGGCCCCACCTTGTCTCTGCTCTCAGAGGAAGGTCTTTAGTATCTAACATGACTGGGATAGCTCCTGTCTGGTTTTTATTGATACCCTTTACCACGTTAAGAGAATTTGTTCCCTTTCATTCTGGTTTAAGAAGGACTTAAATCTTTTATAGTCATTTAGAAATTGTGATTGGTTTTCATGCACCTTTTGAGATTGTTCATTTTTCATTTTTGTTCCGTTAACATGGCAAATTATGCTGATAGTCTCAGAGATTGTATTCTTGGGGTAAAACGGACTTGGTTATGAAGCGTTATTCATGACAGACCACTAGATTCAGTTGGGAAATGGGCATGTATTGTTAACATTCTGAATTGATCTTTTAAAGCAGGCTGGAGCCATATTTGGAGTTTAGTTTTTTTTCTCTGATTTTTCAGGTCTCACAGTTCACACATGTAAGCACAGCACTGAATTCAGGATTACTTAGATATGAGCAATCATTCAGAAAGAGAACATAGTTACCAGACTGCACCACCAGAAATTAAGGAGTCAGACTGGCATCTGGGAATTCCTTTACATACCCATACATACATATACGTAGTGTGGCCTTTTTGCTGACTGATTTTTGTAATAAAATCCCGTTCGTACAAGTAAAAAATGTTGGTTGTTTTTTGGGAGAAAGCTGTGATGTTCCTGGTGCTATTGCACTGAATAGTTATTAGTTGGAAACTGAACCTACTGATGGAGAAATGATGAGCTGTAGGACACACGCTCACAGTAAACGTTAACTGTTGGTTTCTTAGAACTTAACATCGATTATTACTTTTGTTTTATTTCAGGCAAACTTTGGAGTCGGAGTTTAAAATTAGCTTATACTCTGCTTAATAAACTGACTAGTAAGAATGAACCACTACTTAAACCTGGAGACAGAGTAAGTAGCCAGAATGTAACTTCATTGGATTGAGTGAAAATAGAGGCCTAACTATACATCTTTATTGACACTGATATTCTATCAGTTATTTAGAACTATAGTTTTAACACAGAGGTTTAATGTTAGAAATGGGAAAAAATGCTTAATATGAAAAAATTTTCTGTAAGAATGATGTCATCTTTAGAAGAAGAGGGTTTTCCTCTCAACAAACTTATTAGATATGCATCTTGTAAACCGGAATGAAGGAAAATAGACACAGCTTAGATTTTGTATTAGAAGTTGGGGGTTAGGGGAAGCCACTGTCTTCTCAAAGGTTCTCAGTAAAGTACTGTTCTATTACTTACGATTACATGACCAGTTACTATATTTGGGTCTTGCAGTTTTTTGGGAGGAGGGTGGTTTTTTTTTTTTTTTTTTTTGGGAAAACAGAGTTTCTTTGTGTAGCCTTGGCTGTCCTGATCTGTGAACCAGGCTGGCCTTGAACTCACAGAGATCCACCTGCCTCTGCCTCCTGAGTGCTGGAATTAAAGGTGTGTACCACCACCGCTTGGCACAAGATATTTTATTCCATAAACAGCTATGGATTTGGCCAGATAGTACTTTTTAATGACGGTTGGGATTATGTTAGACCCATTTAAATATTAATATGATTATAGGAAATAAATTAGGTACTTAAATATTTTTTTAAAATAGAATGCAAGGAAATAAGTGTTTGAAAATATGAAAATTGGGTGAGCTAGATGGCTTAATAGGTTAAGGCACTTGCCACCAACCCTGACGATGGGACTGTTCATTGTAGCGACAGTATGGATGGGTATTAGATCTGGCTGTCAGTCTGCATGCATTGGAAGGCCTTAGCCTACAGCTCTAACGTATTTTGTGCCATGTTGTAGTAAAGGCTGCCACCTCCAACTGTTTATTCAAATTATATGAATAAGGAAATTGGAAGGACAAGAATGAATTTCAACATTAGATCTTTTTGTGACAAGTTATCTTTGTGCATCCTTGATCAAAATTAGATTTTCTAAACTAAATGTGAAAAAAAAGCCCAAAACATAAATTATCTAATTTTTACCTAACAGAAATTCTAAAAGATGGAAAGTCTCAATCATTCCCGAGGTCTCATGGTTTTTGTTGTTTTCCTCTTGTAGGTGGCACTTGTGTTTCCAAATAGTGATCCTGTAATGTTCATGGTTGCGTTTTATGGGTGTCTCCTGGCGGAGCTGGTTCCTGTGCCTATAGAAGTGCCACTGACAAGAAAGGTAACCGATGGCCCGGGACACAGTGCCCTGCAGTTCTCTGTAGGTGTGGTGAGACTGGCTTCCTCTGCACACTTGGCTGTTGGCTTAAGCAGGTGCTTAGGGGAGGCAAGTATCTAACAGGCCTCCCAGCACCTGAGAGAGCCGCTGGATGGAGTTTGCCCACAGACACAGCTGGTGGGGCAGAGCTTTGGTTTCATCTGTCTGAATTTCCCAAAAGAAATCATGAGTGTTTTGTCCTCCAGTGAACAGAATTTGTGGCTCAGCAAGCTTTTCTGGGGTTTTATTTATTGACTTAATGATAATGTCAGATAGACAGGACAGAAGTTCTCATGCATTTCTTGTTTGCTTACATGGCAGACAGCTTTTCATTTGTAAGTTGTTAATGGAGGGGCTTGGTTTGTCTAGATGGCCAAACCATTTTGGATATGAAATATCAGTAGTCTGATTATTGAAAAATACTGAGCAGAATAGTCATGTGTTCTAGAAAGTCAGGCTTTTCCATCCACTTGCTTCTGTGTTCATGCCCTTGTCAGCATGAACATTATGGATAACAAATGCTCAAGAATCCTAAATGTAGGCTGGGTGTTGGTGGCGCACGCCTTTAATCCCAGCGCTCGGGAGGCAGAGGCAGGTGGATCTCTGTGAGTTCGAGGCCAGCCTGGTCTACAGAGCTAGTTCCAGGACAGCCTCCAAAGCAATATAGAGAAACCCTGTCTCGAAAAACTGAAAAAAAAAGGGGGGGGGAGATCCTAAACGTAAATGCATAAATAAGACCAGAATATCTCCAGGGGTCTAATTGATAGCCATGTATTTGAATACAGTGATTCTTAGAGAAAAAAAAAAAAAAACTTTAAGATTTGTTTGTTGGCTGGGTGTTGGTGGCGCACGCCTTTAGTCCCAGCACTTGGGAGGGTCTCTGTGAGTTCGAGACCAGCCTGGTCTACAAAGAGCTAGTTCCAGGACAGCCTCCAAAGCCACACAGAAATCCTGCCTCAAAAAACCCCAAAAGGAAAAAGAAAAAAAAATTTTGTTAAACCTGGGGCCTGGAGAGATGGCTCAGAGATTAAGAGCACTGCTTGTTCTTCCAGAAGTCATGAGTTCAATTCCCAGCAACCACATGGTGGTTCACAACCATCTGTAATGAGATCTGGTGCCCTCTTATGACCTGCAGAGGTATATGCAGACAGAACACTGTGTACATAATAAATAAATAAGTCTTAAAAAAAAAAAAAAAAGGTTTGTTAAGCTTGAAGGCAGTGATGGGGATTGCTAAAGGGCAAGTATAACATCTTCATCCCAGGGAAGGGGAAGGGTTTTTGTGTAGACTGTGATGAGGGCAGACCTCCAGAGTCATTTGTAAGCTCCAAACATGATTCAGTATAAATGGCTGTTGTGTTTAGAGTTAATTAAAATGTTTTCAAGTTTCATTTATAATAAACCTTAAGAAAGTAGCCCACTATCCACACCTTTATATATTTCACTGTAAATAAAACAAAAAAAAAAATGTCTCCTAAATTTCAAACTAATTATCTTGTTTTCATGAAAATAGAACAAGCTGCTGATAGTAAGACTGGGTTATTTTGTAAGTTTTATGAAGGGCGGGAGAATCAGAACCTGAACCTGAGCTGCTGTGGTCGGACTGTGGCTCTTGCCCCCTCCCAAACAACTCCTCCTCTGTTGCCGTTGCTCTCTCTGTCTTCTGTAGGACGCAGGCAGCCAGCAGATTGGCTTTCTCCTGGGCAGCTGTGGGGTGACCCTAGCCCTGACCACGGATGCTTGCCAGAAGGGCCTGCCCAAGGCACCGACAGGAGAGGTGGCAACTTTCAAAGGTGAGACCCCAGGTCTCAGGACGTCCGTGCTCTGGCTATAGCTGGTACTTGGCTTTGCCTTCTAGGCACATTGTGCAGAACTAACCCCACAGAGCACGGTGGGCTTTAGGAAAATAATACTTCATTCAAGACTTTTGTCTGCTCCAGTAGTTTTGCTTGTTATTCTCTATGCTTATCTATTTAAGTAAAAGGAAATAAAAATAAAACTTGACCCCCACAGCCCCTGGAGCTGGTGACTACATGCTGGGCCCAGGTTCCACCCGTGTGGAGCAAAGCCTTCTTTTGACCACCCTTCACTCTTATCCTGTTTGCTGCCATAGGTTGGCCCCCCCTCGCCTGGCTGGTAATTGATGGGAAACATCTGACCAAGCCTCCTAAAGACTGGTACCCACTGGCCCAGGACACAGGGTCCGGGACTGCCTACATTGAAGTAAGGACATGCTCGTTGGGTGCAGATACATCCCTCTTGGCTTGGGCCTGTTTTTTATTTAAAAAAAAAAAAAAAGACAGCTACTTAAATATCTTTAGACTAAGTGTTCTTATTTTACCTCTACCCCAGATATGCAAAGTGTCACATAGAACCTTACTTGGGTCATTTCAGGTTTCACTCTGACCTAATTCATCTCTAATTGCTCTTTCTAGGATGCAGGCAGTTACAACAAAGCTGTGTGCACTGCTGTCCCTGAGCACTGCTGCAGGTCCCTTAAGAACTAGGCTAGAAAGGGCTTTGGGTGGTACTAAGGGAGAGAGGACTCTAGCTGCTTCTTAAGGGTCCTCATCCTCCTCTGTCTGGTGTGATTATAGGAATATATATCACTGTTTTTCTTCTTGAAATTTTGCAGTATAAAACCAGCAAAGAAGGCAGCACGGTAGGGGTCACCGTATCACATTCATCCCTGCTGGCACAGTGCCAGGCTCTGACCCAGGCATGCGGGTACATGGAAGGTAAGGTCAGACATTCAGGATTGCAGCTCTCGCTGCCTGCATAGGCATCGGGCATACCTGGTCTCCCCCTAGACTCTGTTACTGTGCATAGCATATCCACTCTGTGCATGGCACATTCACTTTTAATGCAGCTGTACCAGGCTGGGTGTGCAGCTTCTACTGGTGTCTTGGCTCATGCAGGACTGGGGGTATAAGGTGCCCCTCTGTGGAGCCCAGGCTGTCCTACTTTGGACAGTTTCAATAAAGTCATACTAACACTGATGTTATGGAGTATGTATGAGGCTTGTGCACCAGTGATTCATTTGTGCGTAACAAGCTGGATCGGTTGTTGACATACTTGAAGGACAGTGCATTATGCATTAGAAAAAGCAGACTATACGCATCCTGGAACATCCTTTCCTGCTAGTGTGTTCATTTTCAGTAAATATGTTTGTGGCTTGAGCAGTCATGCATGTAAAATGCTTAAGTATAATCGTTATGATCTTATAGATTATGATCTTTGTTAAAGTAGAAGCAGCCCCCAGTTTACTGTTAGCATTTTAATTTAATATTGTTTTATATTGACCGATAATAATTGCATGTATTTAGGGGATCAATATGAAATACAGTACTTTAAAAACTAAAATTAGACTCATGGTAGTTTTCTTACATTACGAAACTGGAATTGAGCAAAACTAGACAGTAAAATTGAATGGCATATTTAAATACATACAATATGAATGTTTAATTCCAAGGGTTAGCTTGATGTAATTATAAAGACTTTGTGAAGATTTGGGGGAGGATTTCAAGGACTTTAATGACTTTTACGAGAGCTATAGAACCAAGTCCTATGAGTTCTTTAGATCTAGTGCTAACCATTTAACTCATGCCTCCCCCACCCTTTAATTTGGCTCTTCAGCTGACAAGGACAGAGAGATTGCCATTCATAGTGCAACAATATTTCTGGCATGCATATCACTGCTTTGTGCAAGTGAGATACATGACTATAGGCCGTGGGTGTGAGAATTGGGCACACTGTGTAGGAAGCTGAGAAATGAGTGTCTATGGCAGTTTGTCATCCTGCCTCTTGACTCTGAGTGGCGGCCACTCAGAAATGATGGAATCATGCAATGACCTTTCCGTAGCTTCTCCTGTATGTAGTGTTCCTTGTGCTTTTGAATTGAAGATTGGCATGGTTCTCTTCTCCAGTCCAGAACTGTGTATTTCTGGTCATCTGAACAGACAGTTTTGCTGGGTGTTCACTGGCGCATGGTGTTTGGAAGTGCCGTGTTTATTTCCTTAAGCTCTCGTGTGCTGGTTATGTGCTCATCTCAGGTCGGCTCTAGAAGTGTGCGGAACTTAAAATGCTGTTCATCAGTTTAACTTTCTGTGTCCGCTTTCAGCTGAAACATTAACGAATGTGCTGGACTTCAAAAGGGATGCTGGTTTGTGGCATGGAGTCTTAACAGTGAGTGTTGTTTGCTAGTGACTGGGGTGGGAACAAGAGATAAGCCAAACCCGTGAAATGCTGACATCGCAGATTGCCGGGCTTGGTTTGCTTGCCCTGGCATAGATTAATCCTGCCTCCCCTGAGCCGGTCCGTTTCTTTTTTACAGAGTGTGATGAACAGGATGCATGTTGTCAGCATCCCATACGCACTAATGAAGGTCAACCCACTCTCCTGGATTCAGAAAGTGTGTTCATATAAAGGTATCAGAAAACTGCCATTACTTGCCTCACCTTCCTTCCTTCCTTCCTTCCTTCCTTCCTTCCTTTCTTTCTTTCTTTCTTTCTTTCTTTCTTTCTTTCATCCTTCCTTTCTTTTTTTTCAGAGATAGCTTGTTTTATTAATACTATTTTTTCTACTGATCCAGTAACTAAAACACTTCGAAAGGGTAGATGGTGCCAGTTCTCCTTTGCCCTGGTAACTGTGGGCCCAGGAAGTTCGTCACCTTCCTTTAAAGAATTCTCTCTGAGCTGATCTTTAGTAATTAAGAAAACATGAAGGCAACACACAGAACTGCAAGTGTAGACTGGAGAGCCATCTTGGGATGTCTCTGTGGGCCATCCTGGTCCTGATCTGCTCACGTTCTGGACAGCTACTTGCAGTGGAGTAGCTGGGTTCATCCGTCACTAGAAGACTGGGAACTCCTAAGTTTATTCCTTTGACGTTTCCTTCACAATAACATCAGCATTCCTAGTCGTATTATCTGAGGTGGTTTTAATTTGCAGTTGGAGCTTTTAAAGCCACCAGTAACAAGGATGTTATTCAAAGGATAAGGTCTATGACAGGCAGGATGGAATGGATGAGGAAGGCCACCTGTGAGGCCTGGGCCCTGTTCTTCTTACCTTCCACTGGTGTCTCCCAGCACCAAACAGGGATCCCTGCTGACTGGTAACTGTACAGCTCCACACCCTTTGTCCCTGTCCAGTAGAGATCAGCAACTCAAAGACTCTGACCTGCTTTACCTGGCCAGTGCCAGTGACAACATATACTCTGCAGGCATATCTCCAAGTCGGCATTCCTATTCAGGATGGCTGGCGTCCTGTTTTATGGAGGAATTCAATGCCTGGCTGAAGGGAGTGGGATTCACTAGTCTCTGCACACTCATTGGGGCGGATTTAGTCCATTCAGATCCTGGTTCATCAGAGCCTAGCGTAGTCATCACCAGACAGGCTTCATCCAGCAGCTGATAGGAGCATTTGCAGAGAGGGAGGAAGGATTGTAGGAACCAGAGGGGTCAAGGACACCACAAGAGCATGGCCCACAGAATCTACTAAGCAGGGCTCATAGGGGCTCACAGAGACTGAAGTGACGATCAGGGAGCCTGTGTGGGTCTGACCGAGGTCCTCTACTGTGTTATGATTGTGTAGCTTGGCTGTCTTATGGGACACCTAATATAGGAGGGGGGTTCTGTCTCTGACTCTTCTGCCTGCTTTTGGGACCTCTTTCCTCCTACTGGGTCGCATCATCCAGCCTTGGTATGAGGGTATGTGCCTGGTCTTGTGCCTTGTTCTGCCATGTTTGGTCGATGTCCCTGGGAGGCCTGCTCTTTTCTGAAGGGAAATGGAGAGGGAGTGGATCTGGGGGAGAGGTCACATGGGGGTGGCTGGGAGGAGAGGAGGCAGGGAAAACTGCAGGATGTAATGTATGAGGGAAGAATAAATAAATAAATAAATAAATTAATTAATTAAAAAAAGAAATCCAGGTTCATTTCCCCTTAAGCCCCGAGGCTGCCAGAGTCCTGTAGACCAAGTGACATGATGGCAACAGGGCAGCACAAAACAAGGGCCCGCACCTTGCGGAGGGACAGCATGCAGCATGAGATAAAACTTTCCATTTTGAAAAAAGTCTGGGGAACTGGAGAGGTGACCCAGGAGTTGAGTAGACTACCTGCTCTTTCCGGAGGACTTGGGTTCAATTCCTAATACCCACTTGGTGACTCACAACTGTATGTAACTCCAGTTCCAGAGCACCCTGTGTCCTCTTCTGGTTTCCAAGGGTACCAGGCACACACATGGTGTCCAGACATACATGCAGGCAAAACACCCTTATTCATAAAATAACAAAATAATAAAAATTGATTTTTTTAAAAGGCTGGAGCTGGCCGGGTGTTGGTGGCACACGCCTTTAATCCCAATACTTGGAAGGTAGAGGCAGGCGGATCTCTGTGAGTTCAAGGCCAGCCTGGTCTCCAGAGCGAGTGCCAGGATAGGCTCCAAAGCTACACAGAGAAACCCTGTCTCAAAAAAACCAAAAAAAAAAAAAAAAAAAAAAAAGGCTGGAGCTGGAGAGATGTCTCAGGTTAACAGCCCTGGCTACTTCTCTAGAGGCCCCAGGTTTGGTTTCCAGCACCCATATGGCAGCTAACATCTATCTGTGACTCCAGGTGCAGGGACTCTTATGCCCTGTTTTCTGACCTCCGTGAGCACTTCATGTTGGTGGTACACAGACACACATGCAGGCGAAATACCCATACATGTAAAATAAAAATAAAAAATCAAAGACTGGAAAATGGAGTCTATTACATCTAAATCATATCTCAAAATTAAGTTTTAAGGGGAAAAGGGATGGAATAGGTTCGGTAGCACACGAGATAGCTGGTAATAGTTATGGATCATCGACAAGAGTGTGATCCGTACAGCAGGTCCTTTGCCCTCTGTGTGTGTGCCTCTGCATGGAATGGAGTACAACCGAACTTTGGAGTGTGAGGGTTCCTGGCCTTGTGACGCAGAGACATCTGGATTCCCTTCTCTTTGTAGCCCAGGCTGCTCTGGTGAAGTCCCGAGATATGCACTGGTCTCTCTTGGCCCAGCGAGGTCAGAGGGACGTCTGCCTGAGCTCTCTGCGAATGTTGATTGTGGCCGATGGCGCTAACCCATGTGAGTAGACTGTGACCTAGGGTGATTTACGGTGTTCGATCCCATGATTCTTGACTTGCAAGGAGGACTGAACAACCTGTTGAAGTAGAGCCTGTTAACCAAAATTAAAGCCTTATCACTGCTTTGAGAAGTGTCCTATAGTGTTCTGTGACCTGCTGGCTCTTGTTGATTCACTGGTGGGTCTCATACGTTTTTGTTAAGACACTTAAGTTTGCAAGCAATTTTTTTTTAATTTATTTATTAGTTCTAGTTAGGGAACAAGCTTGTTTCACATGTAAGTCCCTTCTCCCTCGTTTACAAGCAATTTTAAGACAGTTGACATAACCTTTAATGAGAGCCATCGTTTTTAAGAGATCGCTGGATTATTCTATAAATAGGGTCCGTGATTTGCTATGGTCCTCCCGAGCCTCCTGCCTTTAGTGTTAGGCTCCCACTTATTTGATGCTCAGCCCCAACTTCTGTCATAGGGGCTCAGCTATTCTTCACCCATATGTCACTGGCCAACCCCAAGTCCTCATGGAGAAATGCCTCATCTCTGCTGCCTGAGCACCAGGGACCCTCCTGTGTATAATAACAGCCTGGATGTAGCCGCTTTTGAAGTGTCTGTGTGAGCGTCTTAGGCCCAGGACTGTCTCAGGCCCAGGTCAGGTGTCCTCTAGGAGAACCGCAAATGACACTGTTTGAGCAAGGAGTTTCTTTTGCAGCACTAATCTGTTATCCTCATTCCTCTGCGCACCCCTTCTTTCAGGAGAAGAGAGATGGGGCACAGCACCTCTAAAAGCTTCTCATTTTCTTGGTGCCCACCTGAGCCAAGCAAGGCGTGTCCTTCCCACATGCATGGCTACTCATGCCTGCTCCAGGCCCTAGCTGCCCTAACTCTCTTCTCATGCACTCAGCTGCAGTCAGGTGTCACTTGAACACATCACTCCCTCCAGTGTTTTTGTTCTGGGGATAAATGTTAGCTCTATTAGCTTTGTTCCAACTCCTCACTCCATCCACGGTCCTCCAGGTGCCACAGAGCTTCATGGGCCTTAGCTTGCCGTGCATGTATTGGTCTGCTATGATGCTTGGTAACATGGAACAATCCATTGTCTTCTTTTTGTAGGAGACCCCTCTCTCCCTGAAGAAATGAAGCCCAGGGGCCCCCTTCCCTTATATGTACCCTGTGGGGAGAGGTTTATAATGAAACCCTAGGGTCACCATGGCTGTAGTTATTTGAGCCCAGAACAGGCAGAGCCTCCTTGTCGCCAAGTTTGCTTATCTCTAACACCCACTGCTAAGGCCCGCCACCCCTGAATGACAGGAGTCTACCCAAAGGAGAGGACACAGGGAGAGGCAGGACATCCTCAGGGAAGTGTGTAGATCATACATCTCTAAGGCTACTGCTAGGAGCTGCACTTACTATGCTATGGGCCATCTGGTGCTGGGCCTGGCCTTGTTGGGCTACAGATGCTCTTCAGTCACTCAGCAGGCTTCATGCTGGACCTGAACCAGAAGCACAGGAGAGTAGTTCCTGACAAAGGTTCAAGGGACAGGACCTCAGTGACAAACATAACACTGTAAACATCCTCTCAGAGATTTCCACACTCTTTCTTGTTGGTGAGTTGGAAACGGTCTTGTGTGTTTTACGCTAATCACTCCTGCCCTAAAAGGTGTTGCTTTGCCAAACTGTAGCAGTGGTCTCGTGAAAACAGGCTATGGAGGCAGGGCTCAACTTGGCTGCCAGGCCGTGCTTGCACCTCACTGGCCCTCCAGTTCCTCTCACGCTCCACCTCCATTGCTCTACGCAGGGTCAATATCTTCCTGTGATGCCTTCCTCAACGTCTTCCAGGCCAGAGGGCTGAGGCCAGAGGTCATCTGTCCCTGTGCCAGCTCCCCCGAGGCGCTAACAGTAGCCATCCGCAGGTAACTAGATTGCATACTATCTCTGGTGAACTCACATTTGCCATGTGTTCCTAACTACTGGGAGTCCCAAAGAAGGACTCGCCACTGGCATTCCGGTCTCCGTGGATAGCAGGGGTGCAGCCTGCAGTTCCATGCCCCTCACCAGTCTAGATCCATGCTGGAAATTGGGTAGTGGGTTCCTGGAGTAGAGTACACTGAATTCTCTCAATCTTACTTTCCTTACATTCTTCCCAATCAAGATCTTGCCATTTCACGCAGGATCATATATAAAAGTTATAACTGAACAACCGTCTCTTATTCTGAGAGAGGTTCTGGCTGTGGAGGTCCGCCAAAGAGGACCTTTAACTTGCCAAGAGAAGCGTTCAGCCATCCTAACCTCTGAAGGTGAAGGTCCAAGCTTCGTCATAGATATTTCCCTTGTGTCACATCTTACAATTGGAGTAGGGGGTTGAGGTTGCCCCAAGAGCAACTCCCACTCCCGTCTATAGCTAGTATCCTAGTATCTGGGCCTCGGGTTCCTTCCTGTATTTTCTGCACACACCATGTCGCTCCCAGACCACAGCTGGGTCAAAGGCACTTTCTCCCCTGATCAGGGATCACCTGCTACTGCTGCCCTTGAGCACAGTTCTATGGGGCTTCAGATCACAAGCTCACAGCAGAGGACATCTTTGTTAGCTTTCTTCCCTCAACTCATTGCAATAGAATTGCCTCAGCTCTGGTCGTGTATGCATTGTGCTCGTAATTTAAAGACAGCATGTGCTTACAAATATGTAAGTTTAAAGTAACTGTATTTTAATAACAGCATTAAAAGCAACATCTATCTTTCACAAACTGATTGGGTCGTGTCTTGGGAAGGGCTCCATCAGGCCTGCTGCTGTGTGGAGGAGCTGTTTTATAGGGATGATGGGGCTAAGCCAGCTCCATGCAGGCACAGTATCTTAGCTCATTGCAGCACAGTGGCCTCAACCAGGTAGTCTTCCCACCCGGCTACCTAGAGCTCCATGTGAAGGTCACCTCTGATGACCTGTCTCAGAAGTCACATAGTGCCCTGTAGCATGGGCCTCTGTTTGGTGAGAAGAGGCCGTACCACAGAGAGGCATGTGAATTTTAGAGCGCACTGTTCCAACAAGTCCATACACAGAGCAGGTGCTTCAGTGAGGAAGGCTGGCCCTCAGTGCCATCTTCCCCAGAGCGATAGCCCTTGTCAACAGGCATGCTGGTGCTCTTGTTCTCTAGGCCCCCAGACCTGGGAGGACCGCCTCCAAGAAAAGCTGTCCTGTCAATGAATGGCCTGAGCTATGGTGTGATCAGAGTTGACACTGAGGAGAAGTTGTCAGTCCTCACCGTTCAGGACGTTGGCCAGGTGATGCCTGGAGGTAAGAAACAGTCAGAGGGCATCCAAACCCTGCACTGACTAACACAACAGCGGGAACACAAATCCACCAGGTCCGTTAGAGTGCTCACTATGCGCCAGGTCCGTTAGAGTGCTCACTGTACACCAGGTCCATTAGAGTGCTCACTGTACGCCAGGTCCATTAGAGTGCTCACTGTACGCCAGGCCTAGTCCTGCAGCCTCCGCCTTTTGGAAGTATTTAACACCTAATGCTGATGCTGTAAATGCCTGGAGGATGAGGTGACCTGCAGAGGTTGTAACATGCACTTGTGGTGACAGGAGATGTGGAAACCTCCCAGAAATAACTGTAGGTTCAAAACAGAAAAAAAAAAAAAACACACACACACACACACACAAAACCAAACCAGGTGCATCTGCACCTTCCTCCTGCAAAAGTTGGTCCTGCTGCTGGTTTGAGGCAGGGCAGTGATCAGGGGTATTGGGATTCCTGCTCGAAGAAACAAAGCGTCACTGAGGAATAGGGGCAGAGCCTGGCTCACGAGCCCTCAGTGACACTTGGAAGCAGGGATGCAGCTCATAGCATTGGTCCTTATACAGTATCAAGTGGATGTGTACCAATTTGTGCTATTCTGTGACTTTTAAGCTCTCCCTGTTCACACCTGAGAGTGTTATTGTGGGGATGGAAAACAAATACTTACCTCCCTGGACTTGGGAAAGTGAGATTCTGTTGGTCAAGAGCTTATTACATAGATGTAGTTTACTTTTTAATCATCTCTGACTGCCCCCTTCATGTGTGTGTGAGCGTGTGTGTGAGAGTGTGTGTGTGTGTGTGTGTGTGTGTGTGTGTGTACATGTGCATGTGTCTGTCTATTTAATGCTGGCAGTGGACTCAGGACATCTTACGTTCTAGGCAAGCACTCAACCACTGAGTTCTAGTTCTAGCCCTCACACTGCTTATAATGAGTACTTAATAGTACTATCCATGCCGTGACACTCCTTATAAGAATTTGCTGCACATGTAATGTCTTGTTTCTGTAACTTTAAATATAGCAACAATGCCAGGTATGGTGGTGTACACCTTTTATCCCATCCCTTGAGAGGCAGAGGCAGGTGGGTCTCTGTGAGTTCCAGGCCAGCCTGATCTACCTAGAGAGTTCTGGGCCAGCCAGAGCTACATAGTGAGACCCTGTCTCAAAAACAGCAAAACAAAAAAATAAACAAAAACCCCACAAATATATGAGCAAGTCAACCTTTGTGAATGATCTATTTGAATATACCTTGATGATTTTGAATTGTTTTCTCTATTTAGCTAGTGTATGTGTTGTGAAGGTAGATGGTGCCCCTTATCTTTGTAAAACTGATGAAATTGGAGAAATCTGTGTCAATTCTGTTGCAACTGGGACGGCATATTATGGACTGCTTGGAATCACAAAGAATATATTTGAGGTTTGTATCCTTTTGCTGATCTCTGTCTTGAAGTCAAATCCCATGAGTGTTGATGGGCCCAAGGGTACAGGGAGCAGTGATGGCCTACAAGACGCTGCTGACCATAGGCCTAGATGGCTTTGGCCATCAAGAAGGTATTAATAGAACCTCAGCTGGGTTCTCATTATGATCTTTGTTATTAGTAAGTCTCGGAAGGACAGGTGCTGCCAGGAACTAGGCATGCAAGTACATGAGGTTTGTTCAGGTCCTGCTTAGGTTGTGTATCCACTCAGTAGAGCAGTTAAGATGAGAAAATGGGCTGTGAAGGGCCAGGTGTCCTGGGAGTCTTTTTTCTGTAGAACTCTAAACCCTGGACTGCAGGTGGTTTGTGCTATTGGAAATGACTAGGGAAATGACTAAGCTAGTACCATCTTGCCCTAACTCTATGTTGTTATCTGCTTACGCAGTTCTCAGCCTTCCACCCCACAATAGCCATATCCACTTTGGCAGTGTTTCTGGAACTGTCCATAACCCAGACTGTGGTCCAAATGTATTAATCAAAACAATTAGTATTTGTGCAAGCTACAAAACTAAAATAACTATGAGGAAGTATAAATGAAAAATAGTTGCCATGTAGTGTTTGGAAAATACTGCTGAGCTCTGCAAGAAGACAGATGCTACCAGGCCACTCTGGCTTCCTTACGGATGCCTTCTCCCTCAAACACGATGCCACTGTGGGTTTTGTCTTTAAAACCCTGCACCCCCTGGGCTTCATCACCAAGAGACATTTTGAAGGCCTGCGCCTACTCTTTGGTCTGGCCGTCGTTGAGTTCTACTGCTTGCCCACCTTATCTTCCTAGTAGTCATTGAGTTGTCTGCTGCCTGATGTCCTCTTCCCTGTCCTGACAGACTGTCCCGGTCACTGCAGATGGAGTTCCCGTGTCTGACCGGCCTTTCACCAGGACAGGCCTTCTGGGATTTATTGGGCCTGTGAGTATGACCCCCTGTACCCGTCCATCAGCAGAGAGTGTTGGGAAGAAAAGGAACACTCCATTGCCAGTGTCCTCTTGTCCCTGGTGCCCTCGGTCATTCATTCTGACCACCCCTGCCTGTCCCTTACCTGTAGGTAGTGCTTATCCAGCCACAGACGTTTTCATTTTTATCATTTTTTTTCTAGTTTTGATGTTTGAAATATGTTAAAACGAATACATTCTGTAGTATCTTGGCCCATCTTTTTTCTCAGGTAGATGATTTTATTTATCCTTTCCCAGAAACATTGGTTGTCACAGCTCAGGGAGGGGGGTGCTCCCTCGGTGGGTTCTGCAGTCGTGGACGGCTTAGTATCAGCAGCATAATGTGGCCATGTCTGTAGCTGCAGCTAGCTCACGGGCTAGCTCACAGGCCACACATCACACCAGGAGCCTTGCCTTGTTGCAGTCTCAGAGGCCTTGACCTACCCACCCACAACTCTCTAGCCCCTTTGCCTTGACACCATTTTTCCCACCCTTCAGTGCCACCCTTAACTCACATGGTCTCTTCCATCTGACCGAGTACTGAAGTACAGTCACTTTTTGGACCCCGTGTGAGGTGCTGGATTCTTTGTCCTATCAAATCCTTCTCACGAGGCCTGACCACACCCTTTTCTCAGGATAACCTGGTCTTCGTCGTGGGCAAGCTGGACGGGCTGATGGTTGTAGGAGTACGAAGACACAATGCAGATGACATTGTAGCTACTGCCCTGGCGGTGGAGCCCATGAAGTTTGTCTACAGAGGCAGGTGACGCACTGTAGACCCTACACCTGGGTTTCCGATCTCTTCTGTCTGGAAAATCTGGGAAGGCTGTGTAGTAGAGAAAAGCCAGGAAACCTGAATTTGCAAAATTTGAAAATTTGTGTTTATCAGAAAAGTTACCCAAAGAAAGAGTGTTTGTGTTATTGTTAGCAGAGGTAAATGTCTTCATTTTCCTGAGTTTGTTCAGTTCCTTAAAAGAATCAAGTCTGGGACTGGAGTGGTGTCTCAGAGGTTAAGAGCACTGGCTGCTCCTCCAGAGGACCTGTGTTTGGTTCCAGCACCCATTAGGAAGGTGTAACTCCAGTTCCAGGATATCTTAACACCCTATTCTGGCCTCCTCAGGCACCAGGTACACACATAGTACATAGTCATATATGCAGGCAAAATATCCATATAGAACAAATTAATTAATTAAAATTTCAAAAAGAGGCTGGGTGGTGGTGGTGCACACCTTTAATCATGGTCTTGGGGAGACAGAGAAAGGCGTATCTATGAGTTTGAGGCCAGCCTGTTCTACAAAGTGAGTTCCAGGTCATCCAGGGCTACACAGAGAAACCCTATCTTGAAAAATAAGTAAATTTTCAAAAAGTGAGTAAGGTCCAAATACGTGATTGGGTAAAAGGACAAAGGGATACCAGCCGCTGAGAAGTGAGTGGATACTAGCTTCCTCATTGTCTCATGAATGTTGATTGAAAGGACAGTGCCACTCTGTGAACTACTGAGGGCAGATTCTTTTTTCTAATAAGGTGTTAGGAGACACAACATATCCATTGCTCCTGGAATAAAAGTGTCCTCAGATTTTCTATGTTTATTGAGCAGATGACTGTATCTCTGGGCCTGTGGCATAGCAGGGAAAGGGTTGAGAAGGGATTTTGCCCAGCTCTTCCCATCCCCTGAGTTCTTTGTCCTAGAGGAAGCTCTTCCCTTTTGGTCTGGCCAGCCAACTGCCTCTAAAGTTTTATTCTTCAGTTTGCTGTACCTGTGATCCAGGCCAGGCCCTGCCTTTGGATATGCACTAAAGAAATAATTGGGGAGGCATACCAGGTGGACAAAAGATGGTGGTAGCCTGGGCACACCAGGTTTCTGCCAATGGTTTGCCCCTTAAAGCCGAAACTCAGATGCTATAGGTAGAGATGTCCATGGGGGATGCTCATTAGGGGTATATGCTCCCTGGTTTTGAATGGTTGGGGAGACTACTTCTTCACATCCTGCTGTACCTGGGCGAGTGCCTTGATCAAGTCAGTCCAGCCCAAGTGACACACTGATGCAGGGTGAGTTTGTTCTGCAGACAGGGTAGCCTCTCTGTCCCTTCCTGGGACCTGAGGGAATACAGGTACCACAACGAAGGAGCGTTATGAATAATGTAGAAAGTCAGGTTAAGGAACTACTCCAGAACACGGAAGCAGAAAGTTGAAAGAACCAGAAAAAGGGATGGGGGAGAGGAAGGAAATCCAGTTAGCAGATCAGGAGGCGGGTGTGCGTGGAGCTGTCTGCGGAATCGGGAAGCTGGCACGCTCTAGAATACGAGGCCAGCTGTTCTTACTTGGTAAGCTATGGGGATGCCAAACAGAATGTGACAGACTTCCAGCCACCCTGGAACTCATCTGCTAAGATGGTGAAGCAATGATGTTTTCAAGTTCTAACCTAAATTTTATGCCCATCCTAGCTCTCTGTGATAAACACCATGACCAAAGACAACCTGAGGAGCAAATGGTTTCTTTCATCTCACACCAGTGTAAAGTCAGGGCAGGAGCTAAGGAAGGGACCTGGAGGTAGGAACTAAAGCAGAGAGCACAGAGGAGCACTGCTTACAGGCTTGCTGTCCATGTCTTGTTCAGCTTGCTTTGTTATATAACCCAGGACCACATGCCTAGGGGATGGTGCCACCCACGGTGGGCCACACCTTCTCAAACCAATCATTAATCAAGAAAATGTTCAGTAGACTCACCTTCAAGCCAATCTGGTAGACATTTTTTCAATTAAGGTTCCCTCTTCGCAGATAACCCTAGCCTGTAACAAGTTGACAAAAAGCTATATGTTGTCCCTTAACTTGTGGAATCATGGGCATATGGATTTTGCAAGTTTTGTCACAATAAATGCCATGACAATTGGAAAATTTAAACAACCTATTAGGGAAGTAAATTTGGGAAGGCTACAAGGATAATGACGGGAAAATGGCACCGAGAAAAACTTGCTGAATAAAATAATGTGTTAGTGGAGTGTATATGCTATGTAACAGAACGTGGCCGTACTAGCTAAAGGAGAAGATAAGAAAACATGTCTGTGATGACACAGTTAGAGTGGTAGATATTCTAGTATAAAGGGTTTGGTGGGGAAACCCAACTTATTTTATTTTTATTTATTTATTTATTTTGTTTTTTTGTTTTTTTTTTTTTTTTTTGAGACAGGGTTTCTGTGTGTAGCTTTGGAGCCTATCCTGGCACTTGCTCTGTAGACCAGGCTGGCCTTGGAACTC